CAACCATCTAAACTTCAGAAGAAGCTGGCAAAAAGAGGAGTTTGTTAGTCCCTGGGGATGAAGCAGGCCAGGGATGAAAGAAAAGGTTTGGAGGATTTCAAGGAAGGGTTAGGAGCTTCTGAATAAGCAGAAAACTCCCATTTTGGCTTTTCTACAGAATAAAGCTCCAAGAAGCTTCAAAGGCTTTGGAGAGATACTATCTACCATTTAACCATCACATCCTGAGGAGGTAGAATTAAAAGCAATGTTATCTCTAGAGAACTCTGCATAAAGCAGGACATGACTCAGGCAACTTCTCTTTCAAACTCCTAGAGCGTCTTTGGGATAAGTGCTGGCACGACTCCCAGTCTGAGACCTGCCTAAGGCTGCTGAGATTTTGGCTAAGGAGAGTTCCAGTCTCCACAGGAGCTCCCTCAAGTAAGGCCAAGTTTTCACTGACCAGATGAAGGAGCCAAAACCTAACTCTTTACATCTGAAACGCCTCAGTCCGTTCAATGAGAGGGGATTCTGGTCCAAAGAGCTTTGAGTTCATCCTGACAGAGGAGACCTGGTGTGGATGCAAAAGGGCCAAGGGGGAAAAAAGCGCATCATAAATGAAATTCCATGACTACTATTTTTCCTCCAAGAATTATTCTTGACTGCTTTCTTATCATGTTCAAGACTCTTACAGGTGGCTTTTTCCTGACCCTAGTGGCACACACCCTCTTGAGAGAGTTATTTTGTAGAGGCTCAAGATAGCCGAGTCTATATTTATTTGCAATAGTGAAACAAATATGATATGTGCAAGATGACACCTCTGGGACATGAGAAATACCAGGGAATTAAGGCCAACCAATTCTGGCTCCAAGATTCTATGAATCAAGGACAACAGTCCCCTTAATCTTGAAGTCAGCTCTTTCCCCCAGTTAAAATGATAAACAGCAAGAAATGACAACCAGGTGTTTGCATTTTACATCTGTGACCTTTGGGTGTTTGCGGGAAATGTTCTATAAATCCTAGGCACAGAGGGGTATAATGGAAAGAATCTGGGCTTTGGAATCAGACAGAACGAGCTACGTATGAATCCAGCCTCTGTGGGTTACTAACTGTGTAGCTATGGGCAAGTTGCTTCATCTCTTAGACTCTCAGATGCCTGGTCAATAACTGCTTCGAGGTTGACATGACATAATGTGCAAAAGTGCCTAGCACTTTGGTTAAACAGACGGCACAATGGAGTCTTAACTAACAATAAATGCAGGTTCTATGGACTTTATTTGCAATATTTATTGTAATCCTTGGTTAGCAGTTATTTGAAATTAATAAAAAATGTTAAAATAGTTTTTAGATGGAGGCTTTCAACTAATCAAGAGTGACCCCTTCTCTGAACAACCTTTCCTAACGTTATCCCACTCTGGCTAGTATTCCTTTAATTCATTCATCTATTCAAAGCATATCTACAGCGTCAACTATGAGTTAAGTATTTGGTGATACCAGGGAGCACAAAAACACACGTGGTCCTGCTTTCATGATACTTTGGGCTCTAGAGAGTTCATGGCTGCTATTCTGAATTACTAGGTTTTTCTGGTTCTTAGAGAATAGAGAGATTCTTGCCTTGGTTCCCAGGGCTACTGTGCAGTACCATGTGGCAGTTATTACTTACACCTTCCACAAAAGCATAATGTGAAGGAGGAAGAGAACAATGAACTTGTCTAAAGCTGATGAAAGAATTCTGATGAAGGAGGCCAAGTGGCTTCAGGTTGAATTCTTTCTTAACTATCCAGATATTATGGACTATTAAATCTGCAACATAGTTTTAAAGTTTTCTAGTCTAACTCACCTATTTTATAGAAAAGGCCACTGAGGTCCAGAGAAATTACAACTATGCCTTTATTACAGATAAACAATTTACATAATATCTTTTTTCTCATATCTCCTTCCATAATTAGAATAGTGAGGTCCAGGAGAAAGTTTATTAGATTTTTACACTTATTGGGGCAAAGACAAATTAAAATTAATGAAAAGCACTACTGGTAAAAAAACAAAAACAAAAAAAAAAACCCCACAAAATGAATGCTTTTTAAAAATAGAAGTATGTATGGTAAAGAAGAATTACTAGGTATTTTATTTACTGCTGAATACCAAGTGCCTGGCAGAAAGTAGGTACACAGTCAATATTTGTTGAATCAATGAATGAGTTATTGACAAGTACACAGCCTTTAGGGACCTATTTTAATGAGTCAGAAAAGTTGATGTGGACTAAGCATAATCATTTCCATAATTTCAGAAAAAAGTTTCCATACTTTTAGTGCCCCAGAGTTTATAAAACACTTTCAGACTCATATTTCATTTAATTTGCTCAATGGCTGGACTGTTAGTCCCATTTCTATCTACGAATGAGAAAACTGAGTACAGAGAGAGGCTAAATGACTTCTCAACTTACTAAGGGGCAGGAATAAAACTTGAATCCACTTTTCTGAATCTAAATCCAACACTACGATCATGTCCACCTGTCAGGTACATGTAAAAGGCTTACAAAACATGAATTCTCTTGAATATATTAACTAAATTTTGTATACCTCGTTCTTTATGGCTAACATGAAAGATGACGTCATCTGGATCCTGACTTATTTTAAACATCCCCTATTGACAGAGGCTAGATGAACTAGAGTTTCATTATCACTTATGACAGAAAAGAATTTGTATGCATGAGAATTCTCTCTACCCACTTCTTCACCCAACCTCATGCCCCAGCCAGGCCGTGACTTACCTAGTGAAGAAATTCCGGCCATATTTTTTCCAGTGATCTTTGAGAATGTCCTCCACACTCTGTTTGCGGGTGGCCAGAATGGAGAGCCACGCAAGGACAGCCCAGAGTCCATCTTTCTCACGAATGTGGTCAGAACCTGGTGCGGGGAGAGCAAGCAGCTGTGAGAAAGGTGGTTTCTCCAAAGTGCTTGAGAACAAACGCAACAGTAAGCTTGTACATTCAACCAAAGAAGTCATAAACCTTAACTGAGGAACCTGAGTACACGGAAGAAATCACGTATTGAATAAAACAACATAATACTGAAAAGAAGTTGATGCTTCCCAAAGTAATTTGGAAATGTAAGGCAAATGCCAATAAAAATGTCAGTGGAATAATTTGGTATAACTTGATATATCAATTACAAAGTAGTACTGTGAGCGGGGAAAAAAACAATCAAAATAAATCTTAAATAAACAAACAGCAGAGAATTGGACCATTATAAATTTTCAATAATTAAAATAACCTGGCAGTTGGATGGAACAAAATGAAACACATGTAAAGAGACCTAAACCTATATGAGATTTGAATATATGATAAAGTGTCACGTCTAGGCTGTAGGAAAAGAATGGATTTCTTTTTAAATAGTATTAGGATACCTAGTTAAATAGTTGGGAAAAAATTCAGGGTTCTTTCCCTATAGAACGCCATCTCCAAAACAATTTCAGATGGTGACATATGAAATGTAAGAATTGGAAGCTTTTAAATACTAGAAAAGTATATAATTTTTTTAAATCTTGGAGATAACAAATACATGTAAATTCAGAATTCATAAAGAAAAAAATTTGACATATTTGTCTACTTAAAAATTAGCATTTCTATCAGCAAAACTACTATAGGTAAAACTAAAAGGTCATTTGCAAACTTTAAAAAAACACATTTGCAATATAAAGTAGATGTTTACTATACTCAGTATAGAAAAAATTATTATACATTAATAAGAAAAAAAGCAAAACCTTAATAGAAAGACAGCCCAAGGATATAAATAGGCAATTCACTAAAGAATAAATACAGGTGCCCAATTAATATACTTAAAAGCTGACATTGTCTTTAAGAAGACAAATTAAAGTTAAAACCACAATAAGAAATTGCTACTTCCTTGACAAATGTCCACAGATTTAAAAAACAAAACCACCTAGTGTCAGTGGAAGTATAAGGAAAAGGGGATTCCATATGCTGCTGCTGAGAGAGGTACAGTCCTCGAGAGAGCAATTTGGCAAAAAGTATCAAAGCCTTAAAAATCGACCTACTTGTGGATCCAGCAACTCCAATTCTAAGACATCTTTCTTTAGCCAATAGAGATTTGGTTAGGTAAGCTATGGCACATCTGTCTTCTGCTAAGGTTCTTGCTAAAATCTTTACCAAAAAATAACATATTGACTCCTTTGGATGTGCTTATATTCATGGAGACCCTTTACCAAGAGAACAGAACTCTCATTTCTTTGGCATTACGTCCTTATTCTAAAAACAAACAAACAAACAAACGTAATGTTGAGCTCTACTTTCTAATTTTGAATAGGACTCAGTACAATCACTCTCTAAGAGTGCTTTGCGTATTACCATGCCTTGAATTCTTTATCTGCCTGTCTGCCCTTCTTGACTCCCCAGTGGGTCTTATTCTTCCTAGAACTATTAGAGTATCTAGCACAATGCTGGCTACGTGGTAAGCATGAGGCCGGTTTGTTTCCTTCCCCTCTTCGTTCTTTTAGACCCAGCTCAAATAGTCTCTCCTCTCTAAGACTAGCTCCCAGCTTCCATTGGCAATTATGAGCTACTTTCTCTCTCTTCTCCTGTAGAAACCTGCTCAAAACATCTGGTGCAGCGCCATCCACTTGAGCCTCAATCATCTCTTTATGAGCTTTTCACTCCACCAATCATATATTTCTTGGCAGCATCTCTTACTTATCCTCGTAACTAAGTCTGCTGATTAACACAGCACATGGGATATGGTAACTAACTAATTGTGAAGAAGTGTATGAATAAGTTAATCAATTTATTAATCTACTTTTCTCTTTCTCCTCTTGGCTCATAAAAACTCACAACTTTTTCTTTCAAAAGATTTTTCTTCCAACAAGTTACCACTTTTAGAAATAACAGTTTTTACAACCTGGATACTGGAAAAACTAAGCATCACTTTTAGCACTTTATATAACATATTTTGGAAATGTTTACCTAATTTTATTATCTATGGACTTTTATTTGCCTTTGCTGGTATTTCAGGGAACAAAAAGTTAGCTTTCTGACTCTTGCAGCTTTTGCAAATGATATGTTTTGGCAATAGTTCATCCTGAGAAGCAAGATCCTGGCAGCTTCGCCAATATACTGAGAATTCATCACATTAGTATACAGCTTAGAATTATTTGTCTGTGCTCTACTGGGGTTCTTTCTTCCTTCCTTCTTCCTTTCTTTCTTTCTTTCTTCTTTTTTTTTTTGCTAGACTGAAAGCATAGGGGGCAATGTTCTTTCGTGCTTTTCCTGCTCTGAATAAAGAATTTGGTTTTCTTTTATGTGGAAATGAAAATAAAATCTAAAACTCTTACCCAACTCTGATCAAGTTACTGGGAGATAACCAAATCACGCACCTAATATTATAAACAAAATATCGGCCTTGGATAACATAAACAAATACTCTATTCCATTTGCATAATCCCTAGTCTCTCTGGAAATTCTGATTAATCTTATTAATTACCTTGGATGTATCAAAACTCCAACTCTGACTAATACTCAAGAAGGCTGGGTGAATTTCTTTTCTTTAGGATTCTGATGAATCATGACAAGTTACTAGTGAAAAAAAAAGCAATGCTGTGTGTATGTGTTCCTAAAGTTCTTGTTTTTGCAATTGGGGCAGAGTCAGAAAACCTGTATCTGAGACTCTGTTACCTATCAGCTGTTTAAATTTGGACAAGTCACTTAACTTTTCTGAGCCTCAATTTCTTTGACTGTAAAATAGAGATATAGCCAATTTTCTCACATAGAATAATTCTAAGACTGTACTGTGATGAGAGTGAATATTTTATAAACTGTTAAATATTACATAAATACAAGATACCATTATCAACAGGGAATAATAAAAATCTTTTAGGGAAAATTAATGTTTTCCACTACCTTATTAAGTTTTCAAAAATAATGTTCTTTAATTGTAGATATTGGGGAAGAACATAAAAGAATATAATCCAGTATGTTCTTTTCTGTGGGCAGTGGAATTACAATATTTTTCTCTTCTTACTTAATTTCCCTATTATGAATGTGAAATCCTGGTAACATTTTTGTTTTTAATTTAAACAAAGTAAAAGAAGCCACATTCACTTAATTATGAGAAAAGGGAAAACACTGTCAGCAAGCACCATGAGTCCTAGCTGACACCAAAGTGGCGGGAGGTTTTGCATACATCTCTTCATACTCAGTTCAGCTCAGGGACCAACTGAGCACATGGGAATTCTGCCCTTTCAGCATCTTCAAACACCTGTCACATTACTTCGGCCTAATCAGCACCTTGTGATAAGTATAAACTCAGCTCAGTCAGGGCACAACTCTAGATCTCTGCCAAGAAAAATGTCAATCCTTGCTAAGGGAGCCAAGAGCTAGCGGTTTAGGGATAAGGTTCCATTGACCAGTCTGGGCATCTCAGGAGTGCCTGGGCTCCTACCCCTGCCAAGCAACAAGCCTGCAGAACAGGGACACAGCAGCTGAAAAGAGCTGCACAGAGCTCTCTGAAAGCTCTAGAGTCTATCTGTCTCTTTCTTTCTTTCTCTCTATCTATCTCTATCTCTATCTCTCTTTCAGTCTCCTAAGCATGCTGTTCTCTCCACCTGGAAATTTCCACTCTGTATATACCTATTAGCCCCACTAATATCTCCTACAATTACTTTAAACTTCTTGTTAGGATCCAGGATGCCCTCCTTGTCACCCTCCATGCTTACCTGTGTTCTATCATAGCCTGTCTCTTCTTACCCCACCCTAGACTATAAGCTGTGTCCTTGGCTAGGGCCTGGCATACAGTCAGTCCTCAATAAGGTTTTGTCCAAAGAATGGTCAGACCCCAGGTGACTGGCTGGGAGCTTCAGCAGACCTGCTGTGCCCATGGTCCTGTCCTCTTTAGCTTTCATTGCACGAAGGAATTCACTCTGCAAGGATGGGTAAGCTCCTCAGGAAGCTTTTTCCAGATCACACCAGCCCTCAGAGGGCTCTATCCTAGCAACCCCCAGACTTGCCATTTAGCAATTAATTCCACACTGCCTCCTGACTGCCCCTGGCACTCTGCTTCCTTTGAAGAAAGATAGTAAGCAACTGACGGGCAGGAACTGTGTCTTAACCCAAACTGCATTTTATGCTCAACAGATATGAAGTTAGTGGCCTCCCTGTTCCAAGTACATGAAAAAATACTAAGATGAATAAGACATGTTCTCTGCCCTCCATATGAGCACAGACATCCAGGTGAGGGAGTCTGACATGCAGGTAAGAGTTTAGCTGAGTTAGTTATAACTAGGGGATCAGCCTGGTTCTACTGGGGTATTCTGTCTGGGAAATCTCCAGAGATGGGATGTTCTAACCTTCCTATGGGGGTTTTACCTACAGGAAAATATACTCAGGAGTTATGCAAATTAGAATGGGCAGAGAACTAGACAGAAAATCTAGAACCAAGTTGGTTTCTTGACTATACAGCTCCCAGGTCACCCTGTACTTCACCATCTATCACTTTGCACACTTGTAATTACCTGGCCAGGATCTGACTTCCTTCCCCATATGTGGACTCCACAGAGCCCTCCACAAGGATACCATTATGTTCCCAGAGCCTAACCCAGCATCTGGGATACAGTCAAAGCTCAATAAACATTTGAGGAATGAATTGATAAAAAGAAGTATAAACATGAAGCGCTGTCATGTTAAAATTAAAAGATGTTTACAAAGCATGAATGATGGATTTCTTCAAGTTATCACCCTTACATGATACATCATGACTAGAATCTTTTAAAGATGGGACAGGGAAAAAAATATTGCTAAACTCTAGACCTGACCAGATCATAATTTACTGGCATATTTCTACATAGGATATCAAGTTGATCTTCTGACTGGTTTCCTATTCCTCTTTCCCAAGCACCCCATTTTCCTGAGGGAGAGTTTCAAAAGCAGTAACATTCTATTCTATTTGGTGACTTTCTATTGCCGTCCCCATTTCCTGACAAGTTCAAGGTGGGACAGAACTTGCCATTTTGCCCTCTGCCATTATGTATACACATGTATACATCATCATCCACACTTACGGGAAAAAATAACTTTGTACCATGAGATCAACCAAAAATAAAAGGTTCACACTGTCTAGTTCTGGTGCCCATTTCTGAGTCCTTAATAAAAACACCTTTATCCTTGGTGTCTGTAATGATGATGTCGGAGGAAGGGTCCTAGCCTCTGTGGCTATGATAATCATGTGAGACAGCTGCTGTTTCTCGACCATGAACAGACTAATGTATAGTTGGTAACATTAGTAATATCACGGCTTGGGCTTTTAAATGCTAGTGGTTTGTTTTATCTGATGAGCCAGTTCTTCTGAAGTCTGACTTCTCTGCATTTCTTTGCAAGTAGACTTCTCCTTTTCTTTTTAGCTCATCTCTTCTCACAAAGACTTTGGGTCCCCAACTGTGGACTCTGGAGTGTGAGTGGTGGTGAGTCCCCACGAGAGCTGCAGACTGCTGCAAGAGGTGAGGTGGGGATTCTCCGCTGAGGTGGGTGTTTAAGCAGAAGAGCACTGACTGATCACTTATGATTTGAGCAACACACAGGAAATTCACTGGGTGACTTTTAAAGTCCTTTCCTTTCCAATACCATGATTCTGTTTGTCTAAATGGAGGGTGCCAAGCAAATAGTGTGTTCTCTCATTCATTCGACAAGTGTTTTCTGAGCACCTACTATGCACTGGGCTTTATGAAAGGCTCTGGGGATACGGTGGAGAATAAGACAGATGTGACTCCTGTTCTTATCAACCTACAGTCTAGTGGAGCCAACAGACATTAATCAAGTAATCATAAATAATTGTAAAATTATAGCTGCACTATGTGCAACAAAGAAGAAGTGTGTGGTGCCACGAGAACCAATGATAAGGGGATTTGACCTACTCTGGAAGGTTAGGGAGGCTTTCCTAAGAAATTGCCTCTGCTCTCGCCTGGAAAAATATAGAAATAGAGATCCTGTCCCCAGTTAAGCTACAGGAGTCAAATATTTCAAAGCTTTTAGAATCACTAATGTCAACCTGAGAAACTCTGTGAAGGACCTGTTAGAAACATTCGCCATCAAGGGGTGTAGTAGGTAGAAATTAAAACTCCTTTATAAATTAGAAAATTAGAAGTTCAGTTAAATAAGTTCAGCGGCGCCCATTCATAGCAGTGGGGACCCGTGGCGATGCAGCCTGATTTCTGAAATATTTATCTCAGAAATATTACAGAACAATTTTCTTTTTTTCAAAGAGAGAAAGAGTTTGTGGATTATTTTCACCATGCTTTTTCTCTTGAAGAAAAAAGATATCAAAGGGAAGATAGAACCATGGTTGGTACTTAGTATTTGTTGAATGGGTTGATAAATAAATAAAGAAGAACAAACTTTAACAAGGAATAATTTAAAGTCTAATACTTGGGTACAAAAAATCAATCCCATAAATGTAACATGGGGGACTTTTCTTGGCAAATGCTCCTAAATAAAAACTTAATGGGATTTAATTATCTATGACATTACATGGACCAAACAGTATTATGAAATGTCTCCCATCCAAATACTAACCAGGCCCGACCCTTCTTAGCTTTCGAGGTCAGATGAAATCAGGCGTGTTCAGGGTGGTATGAAATGTCCTAAAAGCTAACATAAATGAAAAGTACAGGCCCAGTTCTCTAAAAATAATCATCCCACTCTACTCTTTACTCATCAGGTCAACCCTGGAGGTCAACCCTCAGTTCTGGACATGATTTTATAAAAGGAGCACTGGTGAACTCAGAAGCATCTAGAAGCTGGTGCTGGGTATATAAGAGGTCTGGCAATTAAATTCACAAACTTGTTGCAATGATGTTGCTAACCTTTTTTGATATCAGAGGGATTATTCATTATGAATTTGTACCAACTGGACAAACAGTTAACCACGTTTACTATTTGGAAGTGCTGAAGAGACTGCATGAAAAAGTTAGATGACATGAATATTTCGCCAACAATTCATGGCTCTTGCATCACGACAATGTACCAGCTCACACGGCACTGCCTGTGAGGGAGTTTTTAGCCAGTACACAAGTAACTGTATTGGAACACCCTCCCTCCTCACCTGATCTGGCCCCCAATGACTTCTTTCTTTACCCTGAAGATAAAGGAAATATTGAAAGGAAGACATTTTGATGACATTCAGGACATCAAGGGTAATATGATGACAACTCTGATGGTCATTCTAGAAAGAGTTCCAAAATTGCTTTAAAGGGTGGACTAGGCACTGGCGTCGGTGCATAGCTTCCCAAGGGGAGTACTTGGAAGGTGACTGTAGTGATACTCAGCAATGAGTTATGTAGCACTTTTTCTAGGATGAGTTCGTGAACTTAATTGTCAGACCTCGTAGATAATATGAAGTTAGGGTGGCCTGGAGAAGAGGTCCCCTAAGTGCTGCCTTCCAGTATTTGAAGGCCTGTCACTGACAGAGGAGTAGCTTGTGCTGTCCTGTCTTCAAGCCTGTTCCCAGCCAATCACCAGGCTCGCCTAGTTGTCTCCAGGACGCTGCCCTACATTGACCAATGCTTCCCACATGGGTCTGTGGAGCAAGCTATTACTAGATATACCACACAAAAAACTGACAGGCACTTAACTACGTTTAGGTAAAACTGTACACACAGGAGTCCTCACAGTAGTGTGTTTTAGAATCTTCAAATGCTAATATCATTGTGAATAGCTAAGACCAAGGTGTATTCCAAGTTTCCCAATCTTCACTGAACTCAGAACCCTCTCACAGAACAAATATCCTTCCAAACACCCTGGGAAACCTTGTTCTAGACATTTTTCTTTTCACTAGGTTCAGTATTTCAAACAGGTACATGGGGTTAGAAAACCAAAGGTTTAGACATGGTGTCTGCCTTCAAAGAAAGTTTCCTCCGTAAAGAAGAAGTGATTGATACCAAGCTTGCCCTGGCTAACACTGAGGGGAATTTCATGGGCGAAGACCACCTCACAGGTTCATCGCGTATTCATTTAGTATCCTTGTGGAGTAACACAGCACAATGCAGACTTTGTGAGATAGGAAAGGACTAAGCAGTGGCCTTGTATTCTCTGACCGAAGACCTAGAACATTGGGAAATTATTTGGCCTTCTTTGTGGATACTGTTCAGCCCCATAACTCATCCGTCTTTCTCAATACCCTCCGATTTTATCCAACCAATTCATTACCAAGAAGTACTGCCACTCCCTCAAGGTTATTAAATTGCTTAGAACTTTGTAAATAGGCGTCTCCTTTCCCAGCTCACTCTACCTACCCTACCCCAGGACTTGTAGGAATAGGAATTAAATCGGCATTCTATTCCGTTTAAATTCACAAACTTGTTGCAATTATGTGCATGAAGTGCAACTCAGTGGAAAGACTCATAGAATCCTAGATTTTGATCTTCTTTTCTTTGCTAAAAGATGCAAGTCGAGTACTGAAAGGACCAAGAAGGTTGGTTGTTTTACTTCTGGGGAGCGAGAACAGGAGGAGAAGAAATACAGCCACTGAAGTAATTGCAACCTCTGCAGACGAACATGTGGGAAAGGTCCACACACCTGGATGGATGTTTGGAAAAAAGAGAGAGTGATGTAGGTAGGGCAGGGTAGTAGGGAAGGCCATAGGGAAGACTTCAGGTAAATGCTGGGCAGGCACAGAGGAGGGAGAGCACAGAGTGTGGGGTCTAAGGGTGTTGGGACATCCCCCAAAGCAGACCACATTCTGCTCTTTCATCGCACCACAATTTACACACCCATCTTCATGGTCTAGAACATATTTTTAATTTCTTGATCACCTAGCAACTTAGTTCACCCTAATGGTCTCCCTTCATTTAATCTCCATCAATCACAGCTTGTTGCTATAGAAAACCTGGGCCTATTAAAGAGAAAGATTTAATGCTGTGCTGAAACTTTCTCTTAAATAAAAAACGAAAACCTGACTCACTCCACCATATTTCTTCCCAGAAATGAAAACATTTATAAAGGTTTCCTTAACCACTGAGGGAATAAAAATATGTTTATCACTCTGTTTAATCCCCAAAGACTCAATGACCAGGCTGCCGCAGAGGCCCCCAAACTTCCTGTCTCAGTGGATGTGATCCTCTGAAAGTAAAATTAGCCCTCCTTGGCTAAATGCGCTCACTGCATTTCAAATGTGTACACTTCATCAGGGTTGTTATAAATAAATTGGACCTTGATTTAGGACACATCAGCTACCGTTGCTATTTCCGTGCGGCTTTAGCAGTCTAAGCCCTCATGGCAGGTAGTGTTTATAGGAAAGAAAAGGGTCGCGCAGGACTGTGTACTTACCAGTCCCGAAGCTCTCTTCCCCACAAAGGGACAGTTTGCCTGCATCCATCAAATTCCCAAAAAACTTCCAACCAGTTGGGGTCTCATACAAAGCAATCTTTGTAGCATTAGCCACCCTTCAAAGGCATGAAATCAAAGTTACATCACAGCAGGACTGTTAGCATAGCCATGTGAGGGATGGAAAAATAGCAACCGTTATTGTAATCAAGGGTCCCAGTTAGCATTGCTCAGAGGTACACATAATTCTAAGATTGGTGGAAAATCATAAGAGAAAACTTGTACACAATGGGCTATTATATGTGGAGTCAGAGGAGGGGGTAGAGGAGGAAGAAGAAAGAATTAATTCAAATCACAGAGTTTAGTATTTTAGAAGAGGCAACAGTAGCAAAATATACAAGGCTGGTTTTTGGGCTATTTAAATCCATGTGTTTTGGATACATACTGCATCTAGAAGCATTCTATAAAGAATAAAAGAATGATGTTCTGATGCACTTATATCACAGAATCATAGAATACGGGGTCAGTGTTTGGCAGAGAAAAGAACAGGGCCCAGAATATTATGTAGTCGGCCCAAGGCCACACAGCCAGGATGACCAGCTGTCTGCTATTCAGGGGCAGAATCAATGCTCCTTTCATTTCACCAGAAGGCCCCGCAGGGACCGTGCCCAGGGGGCTCTCCCATTTGCACCAGCTTCAGCCACACTGATTCTTGGCCCCCTGCCCCTCCAACACAATTTTTACTTCCCCCTATGTATCTTTAGACTACTTAAAACTTTCTTTGAATGCATTCTTTTTTTATCCCTTTCCCTTTGAAGGGGAAAAGTTACTGTATTTCATTCACTGAGTGCTTTCCAGAATGCTTGCCTTCTTGCTAGCAAAACAATATCATGTTTAAATTCTAATATGAAGGAAATTATTGCTAGGATTTTGAAAACTGTGAAAGTATAATAAACTTTCATTTGGGTAATGATGTATTTATTTCCACTGTGATTCTATAGGTGGATTATCAATTTTTCTAAAAGTTGGAATTAAACTGTTCTTGGATGACACAGGAGGTACTTCAGGATCTGATAGGTCTAATATACAATAGTGTGGCCTCACAGCAGCTCCTGAATTCCAATGGAGGACATAGACACAGAAGCCCCAGCTTCTAATTCTAGCTCTGATTTAGCGGTGGGGTCATGAACAAGACTGCTCACTTGTCTTTCCGTTTCCTCTTCCTTAAAATAAAGATTGCTGTGAAGATCAATTGGGATGGTGAATGTAAAAAAGCACCATGTAATCTACAAACCACTACATGAATATTAGTCATTATTTTTTTGTTAGCTGAAGTGAGGTCAGCACTAATTCTGTAACACACACACACACACACACACGGATACTACTACATGGCCCAGTGATTGGGAGCAAAGGTAGGTTCTGGGTTCAAATCGTGATTCAGCCATTTACTAGCTGGGTGACCTTCAGTGTCCCTTTTGTTTTCCTACTATAAAATGGGATTATATGTAGCATTTACCCCATGGAGTAATTACATGATTTAAAACATATAAAGTACTTAGTGTCTAGCACAGGTAATGTTCAATAAATATTAGTTATTATTATAAATTATTATTGCTATAAGAGCCTAGAGATATACATTCTGCTTTCCTACCTGGCCTTGACTTTTTATTCATTCACTTGTTGTTCATCCATTCATTCAGCAAACACTTATTGGGCACTTAGTATGTTCCAATTAATATTCTCCCTGGTTGGTCCTCATTTGTTATTTATTACTTATATTTTTCAGTTGTTTTAGATGTGATCTCATAAGCCATCTTAAAGCCTTTGTAAACGAGGTTATACATAATAAATAAATAAATAAATAAATAAATATGGAAATCAGAGATATCAACTGTTTATTGTCATTGGGTCCTTTTTCATAAAAACGGAATGTAATTTTTAAACTATGTGAGCTTTCAGTTTATTTATATTTTGGATAAATGAACATTTACTGTGTCTGCGTGTGTATGGGTATCCAATGAGGGATGGTTAAGGAATGTTTCTTTGAAAGTTCTTTTGAAACACTGATCTTACTTCAAACTGTTCTTTCACCCAAATTGTACACTGCTAAAGGAAAGTGGTTCTCTAAAATGATGTCGTGACTGGGCCGGCCGAGTGGCGCGATGGTTAAGAACTGGCTTGGGACGCCAGAGGGCCCCGGTTCGGATCCCACATATGAGGGCCAGTGACACTGCCCTCCACAGCTAAGATGCTGAACAACAGCTCAACCTGGAGCTGGGCAGCCGTGAGTTGCTGGCGACGGCGGAGGCTGCAGCCCCTGTGGCAGTGGGTTGCCATGGGCTGCCGTGAGCGGCCGTCCAGAAGCCGGCAACTGATCTGCCTCACCCGGGAAGAGCGCAATGATGGTGCCAACTTGCGCCAGTGAAGCAACGTCCTCCACAACTAGACTGAAGAACAAAAACGCAACTTGTCTGTTCCCCTTCCCCCAATTCCCCAGCACTGTTCCTATCCCCCCAATTCCCCAATAAAAATCTTAAAAAAAAAAAAAAATGATGTCGTGAATACAGTGGAAGTGCCGTCCATTCATTTAGTCATACACACAATCAACTCATTTTTTAAACAATGTGTGTGTGTGTGTGTGTGTATGCCATAATATTAATATTTCTGTGCCAGGCACATTATGGTAGGCAGAGTTTAAGATGGCGAATGAGTCAGTCTTTTCTCTGTAGAAGTTTATAATACAGAAAGGCACAAAGTCAAGTACACCAGCTCTCAGAACACAGGGTGGTAAGTTATGGAGGAAGGATGGAGGAAGTGCAGGGTGCTAAGGGATCACAGAGTGGGTGTATCTAATCCAGAAAAAAACATACCCAATTCCTTCATAAAAGAAACACTTATTTAGCAAATATTATGCATCGGACACCCTAGCTAAAATGGGAGGAAGAATGTTCTAGGCACAGAGGAGGACCAGGTGAGGGCCAAAGGAACGGAGAGACCTACCGGTCCAAGGCACCACTGGTGGGCATGCTGCGTGCAAGGCCGCGGACCCCCGTTTGCTGGAAATAAGGAATGCTGAAGATGTTGGCAGCGATGACAGCCACGGAGTCCGAGGGATTCACAAAGAACCCACGCTTGCCCAGAATCATGTTTCGATCCTTTGGGAAAAGGGAGATTCAAAGGAAGATCTTTTAGTCAAACTGTGGAAGAAACCAAAGTATCTTACATGGCGTTGGGGCAGGGTGTGTGTGTGTGTGTGTAAAATTTTAAATTATAAAACTTAAAACTGATACACGTATTCATCCTGGGTTCTAAACACTGGATTTTGTTTCTAATGAGTCTGTAGAATACCACTAGGCCAAAAGCACCTCTATGCCAAAGAGCTAATACTGTTTTCAATTAAAGTATAAACACAAACTCCTTCTCAACTGAATACTCTCTTCCTCCTCCAGAGGCCAGCCAGCTTTAACCTCCCCAGGCCTTTTTCAAATTGTCTCCCACCAAAGGAGAGGAGAGATGGAAACAAGAGGAAATGTTGGCTGTTTACACAGTTTGGTAGGTCTATCGAGCATCCTTCGAAGAACAAAGCAGATTTCTTTAAGGAAGAGCTTCCACATCATGGTCTGTCCATTTGGTGCAGGACCCCAAGACCATGCTGCCACCTTCACTGCTTCCTTGATGCCTCGTATACGGGAGGTACTCAAGTAACTCAGAGTATGGAGGAAATTCCTATCATGCACTGCATTCAGAAAGATGCATTGCAAAACAATGTCTGCTAGGGACCCCCTTTAATTTCCCCACATTTTGATACAGGAAAACTTTTTTTTTAGGAAATAGTGAAATGTAGCTGATATTAAAGAACAATAGCAACAACAAAAATATAATTTTCAATGAAGTAAACATGTAGTGCCAATCTCTGAGATACCAAGGATACAAACCTAAAACACATCCCCTCCTTGTCTGTTATATATTCACCCATCTAAATAAAACAGCCTGTTTATTAAAAAATATTGATTATAGTGAAGAAATAAAAAGTTACTTCTCACATTATAGTTCCATCATTCAGCTAATGTGAATGAATGAATGAATGAATGAATGGGTATAAGTCCAAAACCCCTTCCAGAGACTGAATAAGTAACTACCTGCTAGTTGAAAGTAGAAACCTACCTTAACATGGGTATCTAGAACCCAACCAGATCATGAATCCATAGTCATTACATCATAACCAGGCCCTAGTCACCTTGCCACTCTTAGCAAACGTGAATGTCTGAAATTAAATATATGGGTTACTTTCAAGAGCTCTACTTCTGTTCAAGAGGGTCTTCTCATAATTTAGCCCTGACCCCAGATGCAACGAGAGATCTGTGACTGTCACCCACTGGGCCCATAGGATCTGGAAGATGGCAGCCCATTTTTGCCCCTTCTGTAGGATCAGGCCTAGCCTGCATCAGAGTTCACGTAAATGCACTTGTACCCACCCCATCTCCATCAAAGGCAGCCCCAAAATCATGCTCTCCTGTCTTCATGGTTTCCACCAGGTCAGCTGCGTAGGTGAGGTTGGGATCAGGGTGGTGGCCTCCGAAGTCCTCCAGAGGAGTGCAGTTGACGGCTGAGTTTGCAGGGGCACCGAGTTCTTCGCAGAGGATTTTCTTTACATATGGTCCCACAACTTGTAAAGCATGAAATGAAGAGTCAGAAAATAAAACTTACTAAAGTCTGTGAGGATTGGGAAACAAGGTGGAGGCGTTCCAGGGATAATGGCAGGAACAACACTGAGAATGTGCAAACTTTACTCAGGGGCTAGTGGGGCGATAAGCCTGAGTCGAGTAGAAGGCTCTGCGAAAAGGAGTAATGAGAGATTAGGTTGGAAAGGGTGGGGACAGATGGTGAAGGAAAGAATGGAGGGGAGGGAAGGGAGCTAACCATTTTGAGGGCCCTACTACACACCTGTGCCAGGTGCTTCTCAACCGTTTTCTCACTTGGTCCTTCGAAAAGGTCCACAAGGTGGTACAGCTTAGTGTTTAAGAGCCTGGACTCTGGAATCAGAGTGCCTGGGTTCAAATCCCAGCTCTGCCAATTGTTAGATGTACAATTCTGGGAAAGTTAGTTAATCTTTCTGTGTCTTTGTCTATCTTATCTGCAAAATAAGTATAATAATAGTAGCTACCTAACAGGGTTGATGTGAGGATTAAATGAGTTAACAGGTAGAAAGCACTTAAAACAGTATGGGCCCATGTTGCAAATGTTCGCATTAAGATTATCACCTCCAATTTACAGATAAGAAAACTGAGGTTCTGAGATAAAGCTATTTGCCTAAACTTGCCCAGCTAGTAGGAATGGGAGCTGGGAGTTAGAGCCCTAATCTTTCTACTCTATCGAGCTACCCAACTAACTGATTAAAAGAATGCAAATAAACAAACAAACAAAAAAACATTAAGAACAACAAACAACAGGAAAAACTAGTCACATACTTTATGGTGACATTTAGTATAACTACCAAGAACACTCACCTCTAAAATGCTGAGAACATGTTTTCATCAAGGAAGATACTGACACCAATATATGTCACAGAGGTCGGAACAGGATGGAGTATGTGGCTCCCATTAGGGGGTCACATGGTAAGGAGGCTGACACACTACAGAATGAGGCCAAGACAGCCAGGGTTGTAAGGGATGTGGAAACTGAGGCATTAAAGGAACAACTGAAAGGCCTGGAGAAAGAAGTCTACTTCATGACCAACTTCTCCCAACAAATACTTCATCATAAGCCCCATTCCTGAGCCTACCCAGGCTTCCCTTCATTCTTCTAATGTGGCATCTATTTTTAAGACTTCAAGCATTTATTACAGCCATTTGCCTCAGCTGGAAATGACCATCATTTGATTTTTCTACCACCCTAGATTTTTCTTTCATAAAAGCTATGCTGGTTGGCATTTTTCCAAGAAAACTTAAATGTCCCCTCATCAAACGATGGCTTCTTCCATATCCCAAAAAGCATCCTTGAAATTCTTGGCCTGGCAGTGTCAGTTTTTTACCTACCTCATCTCCCCAAGCATTGCAAGCTCTTTGAAGGACGTCACTTGCCGAGTCCCTGCCTACCCGCCAAGCATACATGTAGTAGGTACTCAATACCTATCTGCTGAATGGTTTGAAAAGACAGAATAGCTTTTGTTTAAAAGAAGTAGATCCATTCCATGGGTCTCCAGAGGCAAGTAGGACCCAAGGGGAGGAGTTCCAGAGATGGAAGATTTCGGCCCTCCAGGAGATGGTTTTCTAACTGGTTTTGCAGTGTTAACAGGAGGCCCTCAACAGCATCACCAAAAGGGTTCAAGCACAGGAAGAAAGTCTTTCCCAACCAGACAGGCAGCTGGGTTCTAACATTAGGGAAAATCCTACCACTCAAAGATTCTAAAATTCTAAATTATTACAAAACAAATAAACAACATAAGTGCTCAGAAATCCCCAAATTCCTACATGCAAGAAAATATCACGGCTCTGGTGCATGATGGTGGCTGCCATCTCTACTGACAGGCCACACAGCCCACAGAGGAAGAAGACACAGAGACACACATCCTGTTGTTCCTGAATTTAATCCTCAGCTTGCTCTTATCCTCTTCTAAGAAAAGGCACATGTGGGAGCAGGAGAGTGGGGGTGTGGGGCTCAGAAGCATGTTTACCACATCAGCAAATGATGACCCTCTTGGAAATAGATGGGGGCGTTTAGGAAGAATGTCAGGTATCTTCTGAGGGGGAGGAAGAGTCCACAAAAACAGCTGCATGTTACTCAAAACCTGATGCTTCGTGTGGAAATACTGCCCTTCACACTACCTTACCATACTACTGTGGCTGCATACAATTAGATGCTTATCTGTGTGGATATTACTGAAATGGTTGCAAAATAACTGCTTAAAAAACATCAGCGATGGAAAAGGACAAGAACCATACGATTTTACTCATATGCGGGATATCAAACAAAAAGCAACTAAGCAACCAACAAACAGACACAGACAACAGTATGACAGTTACCTGAATGGAAGGGAAGGGAGCGGGGAGGATAAAGAGGGTAAAGGGGGTCAAATATATGGTGACCAAAGGAGACTAGACCTTGAGTGGCAGCACACAATGGAATATACAGGCGATATATTATAAAGTTGTAACTTGAAACTTATATAATGTCATTAACCAAAGTTACCCCAATAAGTTTAAATTAAAAATGGGGGGGGAAACTTCTTAAGAAAAGGTTTGTTACAGCATCATGATGCATGTAGCAGAGAGCAGCTTCATACCTGAGAGAAGGGAATGGAAGAGAAATGGCTCATACCTCCATGCATGGCATCTATGCGGATCTTCAGTCGGTTTGGACCAGAAAGCAGCTCTTTCAGTGCATTGAAATCAAAGATGTTCCTCAGCATTGTAGCATACGCTTCCACCGAATCCACAATTTCCACTGGGAGAACAAGCAACATTGAAAGATGGAAGAACTAAACACATTTAGAAATATTATCCTCTGAAGTCATTACATTGCTGTAAACATGGGATAGCTATTTTAAAAGGATAACTATCCAGCAGCTCCAATACGCAGAGCTGTTACATGATCTCTTATTCAATGCTAACAATCTTCCTGAGAGGTAAGTGTTATTAGTCCTATTTTTATAGATGAGGAAGCGCAAGGTCTGCAACGTTAAGTCACTTGTCTCCACAGCTGGGATGAAGCTGGGATTTGGGATGGAGATTTGCCTGATGGTAAACTCTGCTTTGCTGCCGCATTGATTCCCTATCCATCTCCCTGAGAAGTGCATTGTGCTGTCATAAATAACAGAAAATGTAACACCTACTTTTCTTTTCTTTCCTTTTTCCAGGCCCATTGCCATCAAGATTTAATGGTAAAAAGCAAGAAACAAATGTTTAATGAATCACTTTTCACATGTACTGCTAAAGAAATAAAATTATGACAACTTATTGTTTGTGTTGTTGGATTTTCAGGGGTTTAAACATTTTTCAAACATTAAGAATTTATGAAATTCTCTAAGTTTTCTAAACCCTAAGAATGTCTTCAAGATGTACCAAAGCACCACTTTCTCTTTGTTAGGATGCAATTGCCAGCTCTCGATGGGTAGGTTCAAACAAAAAATGCACTCCATAAATTGCAGTCCAGAGGAAAGAACACATGTCAGAGCAAAGTCAAAATGCAAGTCACAATGCCATCCTCGTTTTATTAATATGAATAATTTTATAAATACTTATTCCATCAATTATTATACTACCTTGGCATTCAACAACAAAATGTTTACCACAGCTGCCTATGCAGGAAGTTTCCATGTAGCCCCCCAAAATGGTCTAATTTGAGTTTACTGAATGTTAGGGCAGGGAAAACAAACAAACAAACCACCAAAGCCTAGGTTTTAGAATCATTCACACTTGAGTTTGAATCCTGGTTTACCACTCACTCAAGTACGTGACCTTGAGCCTGTTGTAAGCTCTCTCAGTCTTTGTTTCCTCATCTAGAAATAGTGAATACCAATAGCCCTGCCTTCACAGGGCTACTGAAAGAATAAAATGGAATAAATGTTAAGAGCTTGGAACATAATAAAAGCTCAATAAAGTCAGCTATGAATGTAATCTTTAGGTCTTCTAGTTGAGGCCATTCATGCTATAGGTATGGAAACTGAGGCCATGAAATTTAGAAATGACTTACTCAGGGTCATGCAGCTGATCACTAACAGGGCTCAAGGAGCCCAGGTCTCTAGACTCCCAGACCCAATCCCAGACCTGCTAATTAATGCATGCAAAGCTTAGTGACCACAATCTTTCTGAAGCTGAAGACCCATGTTATTAAAACCTGGAAAGGCAAATCACTCAAGTTGGAACTAGAGGTGGGCAGGGGGCGTGGAGGAAGTGGGGCAGTACACATGCCTGTAAAGGGTTTGAACTTGTTTTCCAGGTCAAACTGTTGCTTTCCCAGAACGCCAAGGTCTAGTTTCAGGTCAGGGCAAATTGCATATTCTTCAATTGTCTTGCTGATTTGGAAAATCTTATCAGTGACTGCTTCCGGAGCAGGACCTAGAAATCCAACAGCAAACAGTGGGTCATTTTGTGCAGCTGACATGTACATACAAAAAGTTCATCAATTCTTCTAACAATAGCACATCTGTCATTCATTTCATCATTCAGACAGCAAAGTATCAGGGTTTTCTAAAAGGAAATAACATCTTAATGATCATTTGTTCATGGCTCCTCATATTCAGGTACAGCAGAATGAGAAGCATGTCATTTTCACCAAAAGCAAACAAAGAACATCCTTGCTCAGGATCAGAACCAGCAGCCAGGCCCCCCAAGGCCTCAGTGATTGGTGTATCCTGCTGAACCTAAAACTGACCATCCTCAAAACGACAGCAAACTCACCTCCATTGGAAATGTTAAATTTGATTCCAAAATCTCCATTGGGCCCTCCAGGGTTGTGGCTGGCTGTCAAAATGATCCCACCAATGGCTTTGATCTTCCTAATGATGCAGGATACCGCAGGGGTGGAGAGGATTCCATTCTGCCCAATAACCAAGCGACCAATCTGGGAGAAGAAACCCAGAACACACACTTCAAAGTCAATAAGTCTAGAGCTGCTGCATAAAAACACTGATACGACAGGCAGATGAACAAAGAAATATTCTATTGGACCAGGAAAGATGTGCTTTAATGAATATTTACAGCCTCAGTGGTTATTATTATTATTATTATTATTATTATTATTATTATTGTTTTAGAGTAGAATATTATTGTTGTTGTTGAATAATACTATTATTAAAGTAGAATCATTATTGTTGAACAAGGCCATTCCTTCAGATAGTTTTTCTGGGACTTTGTAGTTTTAAAATAGTGTGTGATCTGGGGGTACTATAAGAAAGACTGACAATAAAACATAAGAGTATTCAAAACAGAGCCTTTCCAGACCAGGTTCATAATTTGGATACACCGAAAACTTGTGAGAAAACACACATTTTTATCCAATTCAATCATACTTTTAATCCATATGAGGAGAAAGGATATAAGTTTAGCTAGTTAACGAAATTCTGACCCCAAGAGAAGGCTTTTGTAAATTAAATGTTTGAAAATGCAAAAAGGGCAAACTTTATATGAAGAATACTACAAAATAAATCTCAAAAATTTATGTTTCTAATCAGGCTTGGATTTTGATAGAGTGGGTTCCTCGAGCAGAACACACCCAAGTTAGGGTATACCTGGGTCACCTCCGCACCTAAGGCAGGGAATCCTGGGAGGTACCACTGGGTAAACCAGTCAGAACTGCTCACATGAAAGGGCTACTGGTAGTATTTCTGTTGTGTTCTTAACTCATCTTCCCATATCTCTCAAAGATGGCATCTGCACAGTTCCTAAGTCTTCCTTTACTAAAATGATAGTAACTTATATCTGTTGCAACATGACCCAAATTGGAAAAGAAAAAAGAAGCTCTATCAGTTACTCTGACATATTTGGAGATGTGACTGCTACATAAAAAGGTTTATAAAATGAGGAGTTTGTGCCCTCCTTCCATTCTCCCTGCTGAGAGAAGAAGAGAAATGTTCTTAAATTTTCCATTTGTTATCTCTTTTTGCCCCACCCAAGATAAATATGGCTGAAGAAATGACTTGACAGAAGATGCGTTTCAAATGGTGAACATGCCAATGAGATACCTGGATTCCCTGGGAAAGTTTTTCTGGGACTGTGAATCTTTGCCACCCTTCCATAGCTCACTAAAAGCTTGACTGCCTCATAACCTCTCCACTACCAAACACCTCCCAGGAAGCAGCTGGTTCAATTTCAGTCACCTCTTGGCTCTCATATGTCTGTCTCTGAACAATTTTTGTTATACTAACATTTTTGTTATATCTTGCCTCTCTCAGGAGGTGGTAACAACTAAGGTAGGTGCTGTAACTGGGCTTCTTTATAGACTAGAGGAACCTGCAGATGGTATGAAATCAATATTAACAATGATTACTGAGCTGCAGAGGGCTTTCTACAGCCCTCTTATTCATCTACACAATGGGAGAAGCAAATGTGAGACAGAATTCATTCTCTTTCAATTCACTCTCACATTCGCTCCTCTCATTGTGTAGATAAACAAGCTAAGGTCAAGCGTTGTCGTGATCCTGTCCATTTTTCATTCTTACATCCATCTACCAGCAATAACCAGCATTTATGGAAAGGTGCTATGGTAGACATTGGGATAGATGAGATGACAAGGTTACATGGCATCTAGTGGCCATAGCTGGGAAAAGCATTGAAACTCCCCAACTCAAATACAGTGGGAATGGTAACATATCACGCTTCTAGCAGTTTCCTGGTGTGGTTCTGAGGAAAATAAAATCCTATGGTTGAGGACTTCCGTAATTTCAATAGAAAAGGCTTAGAGATGGCAATTTACTCAGCCAGAGTGGCTGGTGGAGTTATCTGTTGTATTTGTACATCAAGCACACCAACTTTTACTTCGATTTTGTATGTTCGGTGTGGAAGGGAAGACTGACAAATGAATATTAAGCTATGCCACCCAGGTCACCCCTTAATTCTACCATTCCTTATGGTGATACCTGCAGTCAGTAATGTTCAAGACTGGGATATACCAAGGGGTAAGAGTAAAAAGGAAAGCTGAGAAATAGAAGCAAGGGAAGTCCATGGTAGCTTCTTTCTCTTGAGCCCAAGAGGAGGTACAGCTGGCCAAAATATCCCCTTCCAGAGCAGACTCTTTGCTATGAATTGCCCTCAGGAACATTAACCCTCAACTTGATATTGGGGAGAGATCGCTCTATTCCCTCCTTCCCTTAAGGAAGTCTGAAGCATCGTGACAGCTCCTGGCTCAATGTCCCCTGCTTCTCTCCCACTTGCACCTCCCTTGCTCCACCATGGCTGAATCTATCCTACCTCCTCAGGCCCACCGAGTTCATCTTTCTAAACTGTAGTTCTGTGTTCCTCCTCAACTCAAAAATCTTCCCTGGGCCGGCTGAGTGGCGCGTTGGTTAAGAGCTGGCTTGGGACGTCAGTTTTGAGCAGCAGGGCCCTGGTTCGGATCCCACATATGAGGGCCAGTGATGCTGTGCCCTCTACAGCTAAGATGCTGAACAACAACTCGACCTGGAGCTGGGCTGCCGTGAGTCACCAGCGACGGCACAGGCTGCAGCCACTGCTGCAGTGGGCTTCCATAAGCTACCGTGAGTGGCCGGCAGCCAGCGAGAGCAGCCGGCAGTTGGCGTGAGCTGCCAAGAGCCACTGTGAGCGGCCATCCAGAGGCCGGCGACCAATCTGCCTCACCCGGGAAGAGCGCAATGATAATACCAACATGGGCCAGTGAAGCGACGTCCTCCACAACTAGCCTGAAGAACAAAAGGACAGCAACTTGTCTGTTCCCCTTCCCCGATTCCCCAACGCTGTTCCCCTCTCCCAATTCCCCAATAAAATGTTTTAAAAAAAAATTCTTCCCTGTACCATATAAACCAGAAATTCCACTTCTAGGTATAGACAGACACAAAAGGAAGCAAGAAACAGATAACTTACACACCCATGTTCATAACAGCATTACACACAATAGTCAAAGGTGGAAGCAAATCAAATGTCTGTAACAGATGAATGGATAAACAAAATGCTGTATATACATACAATGGAATATTACTCAGCCTTAAAAAGGAATGAAATTCTAATACATGCTACAATGTGGATGAACCTTAAAAACACCATATTAAGTAAAATAAGCCAGACACAAAAGGACAAGTATTGTATGATTCCACTTGTATGAGGTACACAAAATAGGCAAATTCACAGACAGAAAGTAGAACAGAGGCTGCCGGGGGCTGGGGGAAGGGCAGAAAGGGACATTATTGCTTAGTGGGTATAGAGTTTTAGATGGAATGATTAAAAATTTCTGAAACAGGATAATGATGATGGTTGCAGAACACTGTGAATGTAATTAATACCACTGAATTGTGCACTTAAAAATGGTTAAAACACTAAATTGTGTTATGTATACTTTACCACAAAAAAATAAATAAAATTAAAAAAAAAAAGAATCTTTCTCTGGCTCCCAAGTGTCTACCAACTTCAGGATAACTCTCTCAGCCTGGCACTGAGAATCCCTCATCAAATAGCCCTTCCTGTCCATCCTTCTCCCCTGACGCCCCCTTCTGCGTAACTCAGGCCACACTACCAAGCTGGATACACCGCACTGTTCACCCAGCATTTTACTGTCAAACGTGACAGGCAGCAAATTTAAATGTTCCCTTTAACTGAAAATGGGGCCTGGTATTTTCTTACGTTTCATACAAAAACAAGTTCCATTTTCTTTGCCCTGCTAGTCATAGACACGGGTACTATTCTCACTTCTAAACGTATCTCTAAGTTGAAAGCTCTGGGGACTATGTGAGATATCGGTATTATAAAATGGGGCCCACCAACGTTTTATTTTGTACATTGCAATTGCCTGTCAATGCAGACAGCTCTAAGCAAACAAAAACAAAGGGAAACTTCTAACAAAGATAAATTATATTCTATGATCCATAAATGCACCAAATGCATTTGTGTACTAAAGAGAAAAAAAATGAAAGGGTCTCCATTTAGCTCACTAGGCTGAGACGTCCTCTGAGAACTGACTCATGGGTAGAGTGGGTACTGACAAAGGTGAAGCAGGAACATTGACTTCTACCAAAATCTGTGGCAATAAATGATCTTTCCTTTAGATTTCCTCCCTAGAGTTCTGCCCATAATCAAAGGGATGTTAAAATAGTCAGAATTTAGGGGATGTTTGAAAAAGAAGAAATCAAACTATAGAGGATTCCACAGGTTTTATCAGATTAAAGTGCTTTACTGGTCCACCAAATGTTTTAAGTAATGCAGCTGGGTAGCATGACTGCTTTAAATGCAACACTATTTTTAATAAAGAATGCCCTTGAAAAGACTTGAAAATATTGCTGTGCTGCCACAGCTCTAACAAATAGGCAGTTACCATATTTAGTCAATTATTACCACTTAAATGTATTATTTAGCAAACCTCCAGATTGTAAATCTGAGAAAGTCTATTGGGTCTGCCTGAATTACACATTCCTACCACCTCTTCCACATCTTTCAGCTTCACACAAAAATGAAATGAAGCCAAATATATCACAGCAAAGGGGACAGTGTACCAGATGCATTCAACAATCTAGATATATGCGGAGAAATAATGTTCCATTCATTCTCTCTCAAAAGATTAAAAGTGTCTTAATACGGTTCCCTTTGCAGCTCTCCTCAAAGGTGAAATTTACAGCATGTCACATTTTATCTTAAAAATGTGGCTACGTCATAATAATTTCATATTTGAGTGCTTTATCAGCAATTTTTACATGAGAGGCATTCAAATTCTGAAACAGGGTATAAAGGAAACTCCACATTACAAGCAATAGGATCTACAAATATTTTTAAATTTAATTCGGTAGTGTGTTTGTTTGTTTTTTTAATTTGGGTTTTGTAATGACGCCTGCATGTCATATGATTAAAATAGACTAAAAATGAATGCCTAACACATTTGATGGCCATGCTAAATTTTATATT